CGGCAGGGGTTATTATTCCTTTTCAAAGGTAAAATAGGAAAATAAGGAAATAAGGAAAATGTATTATTCCTTTTCATCTGTTCCCTTGGCCTTTCTTAAGTTTCGTCAATTAGTTCATCTTCATCTTCTGAAATAGGTATAGGCTCACCAGAATGATCACTGCTAATATTTGGTACATTAGGCCTACTCATATTCTTTTCCTTAGGGTTGTTAGTCCTTTCTTTTCTGTGTTGCATCCTAATGTGAATGCATAGGCCTATCTGCAACTTCAAATTTGATTCATTTTTATTGTCAGATATTGTTGTAGGCATACCATAACCAACAATACTAACATCCTGTTCATGATCTAGATTCAGTTCCTTAGCTTTGTTACACTCCTCAGTCTTCTGAGTAAAGTTGTCACCAGAAGGCCTAGGCCTATCATAAACATTATTGTTTTCATAACATTTACAGTAGACTCCCTCTTATACGGACTCCTCGGGACCGAGGCCAGTCCGAATAACTTGTTTTCCGGTTAAGCCCACGTCCCCAAAAACTTGTTATGTAACCCAAATATTTGACTTAAATTTAGGAGAGCATTGTATTTAGACATGTGATCACTGGTCTCAAATCTTTCCCACGACAACAGTCATTTCAGTACCGCCCACTTCCTGCCGATCTAGTCCGCAACCGATGTGCTGATAAAAATTGTCCGGTTAAGAGAGATGTCATTTCCGCCGAGTGTAGTCCGGTTAAAAGGGGGTTAAGAGGGAGTCTACTGTATTTACAACTTAAGGTGTACTAGCAAGAAACCTACTTTGCTCAAAATGTGCATCCATATAGTCTTCATAACAATGTTCAATCCCTTACAGCAATTCAATATTGCTTAATACCATCGTTAGCTTCAGATACTGCACCTAAACTACGCACCCAAACATACTCATTGTCTGATTCTTCAGAGTTGTCAGAACGCTAAACAGTGTCGTCTCTTTCAAAAATACTCTGATTCAGTAATTCTATTATGTCTTCTCCAAAATTACATTTTAATGCACTGAATGGATTCCACTAAACTTATCTCACTATAAACACTACATACTTCACTCAAAAACACGTACACAAACTATCTGCCAGTGTCTGAGCGCGCAGAATCAGCCGGCCGGTTTTGTAAACAACAGATGTTACGAGATCAGTGATGCCAACCAACCAATAAGAAGAAACAATATATAACAACAGAAGTTATCACAAAAATAACATTGATAAATGGCCTAAGATAACTGTTGACGGCCCAGAAACATCTTTAAAATACCTAACTTTAAAATACCTAAATGACGATTCCATTTTTTGGCATATATATATACGTTGTACCCTTATGACCTTCAGATTGAGTTGCATATGTAATGTATACGTCCAACGCTCAGGAAGGGTTAAGAATATAGGTATCAGACCATTTTTCATATGATGGATATAAAACATTAACCCTTTGCACTCCGGCAAAAATTTTTTGGTCCTAGCCAAAAATGCCGGTACTTTGCCGGATAGGCCTAGCCAAAAACTCCAGACATTTTTACTAATTTTTGTAAGCGTTTGGTAAAATTTATGTATCTTCCTTGTCTGATCAGATAGAGACATACTTTTTGTTTCCTTTTATTCCCTATGAAATTCTACATAAAAATAAGTGAAAATAACCCATATCAAATATAATTTTTTTTAAATTATTTTTTATTATAATACGTTTGATTTCTTATTTTTAGAAAAATATTATGTTTGAACGTGTATATCTAAAAAAAAAACCATTGAGACCATATATAATGTTAGTATTCTCAAATTCTCTACTTAGTTCTGAACAAAACACCACAAGTTCCATGCACCTACCTTGAAAAATGAAGAAGTTGTAGGCAAATTTGAAAATTTTTGTCCGAACTCCAAAATACTTGCATCTTGATAAATGAGGGTTACCCCAAGACTGTATCACAAATCATTACATTTTTCAAACTATTTCTTCCAAAAATCAAATTATGGTATTGTAAAAGTAATATTGTAGAAAAAACTCAAAATAAGTTTTTGTGTAGGGCCTTTAGCTTAGCACTAATGATTGTTGAAAACGCAAAATAAAAATGTCGAGAATATTCAAAAAGTAAATCTATTCAACCACATTAATTTTTACAATACTCAATAAAACATGCCATGCAAAAGTCATAAAAAAGTCCATGCAGTCAATCATTCAAACACAAGACAAAAAAACTATTTACAAATTATGCAAACACAAGACAAAAAACTATTTACAAACAGGAATTGTTATTATTTGGTGCATTTGTGTTCGCCGAAGCAAACGCCATGTAGTCCTTTACCACAACGAACACATATTGTACGGCTTTTTTTCCTCTTGCCTCCCATTCTTGTGCTAAGAGGACTGCACACACAGCAGTTCCTCTCCTGTCTTCCAGGTAAAGATGTGATGCCAAATTGAGTTTTGTTATTTGGTCCATCGCCACGACCATCTTCTTTTTGGGCTCTACTAGGATTCTTTTCTTCGTACCACTGTGAAGACAGCGCCTCAATAATAGAAATGGTAAAGTGGTATCTTGAAATTACTTTTCCGCTGGTATTTTCTGAGTAAATTATATAGGCATTTAGGAGGATTCTTGCAAATATGTTAAAGGTGACTTTTTTCCAATATTTTAGGGTGCGTCTCTCATCCAAGTAACAATACATCATTTGATCATTGCCGTCAACACCACCCATGAAACGGTTGTATGCATCAATCATTTCAGGAATTTCTTTTACTAAATTTTCATTTGTTCTTTTTTTTATTTTTTCAATAGACTTAGCAGTATGTTTAGATGATAATAAAATAACTGGGTTTTTCTGACTTTTTTTCTCTCTGAAGCCTAAAAATAAAAGATGGCCATTTCTCATGTAGGTCTTTTGGCCAATGTCGAATTTTTCTTTTAGTTTAGATGGAATGCCTTTTCTATTCCTTCGTACGGTGCCGGTGATGAATGTAAGTTTCTCATACAAACTTGTAGCTAAAGGGATACTAGTAAAAAAGTTATCCATGAAAACATGGTAACCCTTGTAAAGATACTGGCCTATCTCAAGCAGTTTGTGGACAACTTTGTAGGCTAGGCCTGTGGTTTTCTGTCCAGTACTTTTTGTTCCCTTGTAACAATAAAACGCAAGGCAATACCTCGAAATGGAATCGCACAGCATCCATAACTTTACACCCCACATGTTTGTTTGGGAGGTATTGCAATAACTGAGATCTTGATTTAGTTCCGATCAAACTTTCATCAACCGACAACTCACGGTGTGGTGTGTAGTACAGCCTAAACAGTCTGTTGACGGCTTCTAGCAGGGGCGAAAATTTTGCACACGGCTCATATCCAGGCTCCCCAATTTTAGGCAAATTTGAATTGTCTACCATATGAAAAAATTGAATAATACTTTCAAAACGAGATCGACTAAACATCTTTCCGTACCAGGGAGTATATTGGGAGTCAGATGTTGCCCAGTAGCTCTGAATTGTCGGTTTCCTATTTAGGCCCATATTTAAAATTACTGCAATAAATGCCTTCATTTCAGCTAGTGTTACCGGTCTCCATTTATGGGCTCTAGAATTAGGGGTCAAATTATGTAGATGTGATTCGATGTACTGATTAGCATACCTGTTAGTTTCTCTTACAAATTTTGTTAGGATTGTAACCGTGAAAAATAAATAAAAATAATCAATCGGTTCAGAATCACGAGGAGGACAGTGCTTTGGACCAGGTTGTTCGAAAAATAAAATGTCATGGTCAAATCCAGGGTCATCACTTTCATGGACAGGTTTCCATTCTTCTTCACTAGGGTCCATATCTGGTGGAATATCAGGGTCAGGGTTAGGGGTTACACAACGTTCGGAATTTCTTATTACATCTTCAATAGTATCATGTACTGTATTCAAGTTCAAAAGGGGTGCATTTACATTTACTTCGTTGTTCAAAAGGGGTGCATTTACATTTACTTCATTGTTCAAAAGGGGCTCATTTAGGCCTACATTTTCTTCAAGGACATTTTGGATTAAATCTACATTATTGGTATCATGCAATTGGGTATCATGCAATTGATTAGTTGAGGGATTAGGCCTACCATTTGAAGCTAGGTTAGGACTAGGCCTACCTGAATTCAAAATTACAAACTCAACAGGCCTACTTTCAGCTATGTCACTAGGCCTACCAAGAGGCATATTTCTATCACGAGATTTTGTAGGTTGAGCATCTTCATCTGAACTTTCTTCCTCTGATAAAACATAGTCAGGGTCTTCATCAGTATCATCATCAAAACCTGACAAAACATCACTTTCGTTTTCACTATCAGAAGTTTCAGAATCTGATATGTTTTCCACAAAACCGTCACTCAAGTCATCATAAACACCAACACCAGATTCCACTACGTTTCTGAACAGTGTATTTTCGCTAACTGGTGATTGTCGTCTGCGTCTGTTACTGTTATAAATATCTTCATCAGAACTGTCAGAATCTTCCATTGTAAACTTAAATAAAAAAAAGGTTAAAATTTTACTCTAAACAAACTGTAAATAGAAACATTAGCAGTAAACATAAACAACAATGCAAACAGCAAACAAACACCGACCTCCCAGTTACTGCAGACAGCTGGATTGCGTCAGCCGGCCAGCGCCATAGACCACAAAAACAAAAGATGACAAGCACAAAATTACAGCTACGAAAGGAGAAAAAAAGCATAGAGTAATATTTCACAACTCTTTCTAACAAATATGTCATAATATTAGCGCGTTTGACTATTTATATAGCCAGTACGATCGATTTTACTGATGACCGATATTTCGGATGTCGGATTTTTCGGGAGATTTTGCTGACGTGCGATATTTCGGACCACGGAGTTTTTGGCCGAAATTACAACGTCCGATAATTCGGACGTCGGAGTGCAAAGGGTTAAAATATTTCCTTTAAGGATGGAAAGTGATTGTGTGACATAGGGTGAGAGGATCGGGTACAACTCACCTCCAAAATCATGACTGCCATATTTTGTAAAGCCAGGTCGTGGGAGACTGCGGTCAGCTGTGGAAGCGAATCGCAACAGGATGCAGGGAGAAAGGGGGTGAGGGGCTCCTCTACGCCATCTACCTGGGGGGAGCTCTACATCTAGATCTGACACAGACACTGCATCAGACTCCTGCAACAGAGAACAAAGAGTGTTGCATTGTATAGCTTCTAATTCCTCTGATTAGCTGCAGTATGCAGGGTGACAGGGGGTGAGGGGCTCCTCTACGCCATCTACCTGGGGGGGAGCTCTACATCTAGATCTGACACAGACACTGCATCAGACTCCTGCAATAGAGAACAAAGAGTGTTGCATTGTATAGCTTCTAATTCCTCTGATTAGCTGCAGTATGCAGGGTGACAGGGGGTGAGGGGCTCCTCTACGCCATCTACCTGGGGGGAGCTCTACATCTAGATCTGACACAGACACTGCATCAGACTCCTGCAATAGAGAACAAAGAGTGTTGCATTGTATAGCTTCTAATTCCTCTGATTAGCTGCAGTATGCAGGGTGACAGGGGGTGAGGGGCTCCTCTACGCCATCTACCTGGGGGGAGCTCTACATCTAGATCTGACACAGACACTGCATCAGACTCCTGCAACAGAGAACAAAGAGTGTTGCATTGTATAGCTTCTAATTCCTCTGATTAGCTGCAGTATGCCCTCGAGGGAGCTCTACATCTAGATCTGACACAGACACTGCATCTGACTCCTGCAACAGAGAACAAAGAGTGTTGCATTGTATAGCTTCTAATTCCTCTGATTAGCTGCAGTATGCAGGGTGACAGGGGGTGAGGGGCTCCTCTACGCCATCTACCTGGGGGGAGCTCTACATCTAGATCTGACACAGACACTGCATCAGACTCCTGCAACAGAGAACAAAGAGTGTTGCATTGTATAGCTTCTAATTCCTCTGATTAGCTGCAGTATGCCCTCGAGGGAGCTCTACATCTAGATCTGACACAGACACTGCATCTGACTCCTGCAACAGAGAACAAAGAGTGTTGCATTGTATAGCTTCTAATTCCTCTGATTAGCTGCAGTAAACTACTGTTTGTATAAATAATGGGAATAAGAAAGAGGAAAAATGTATTTACACACACACACAGGTTTGTATTTACTTATAGTGTAGTGTAGTGTACTTGTAGTATTTGTTACTTGTGTGTATTTAAGGTAGCTTGTAAATGTATTTATTAACTACAGGCCAGCCTGTAGTTAGGGACTACGTCTGAATTGATCAGACTACTCACTAAATAAACCATCTCTAGGTTGTACACAGACCTGGGATTGTTTGTCATGTTTCTTCAGGTCAGACAAATATCTAGTATACTGTGAGATTAGAAATGATGTTTGTTGTTTGAATGTATTTCCAAGGGAGTCCATGGATGCCAACGGCCATCTTGGATTTGCCCGCAATGTTAATTATGTTATTTTCAAACAGACACTGAGTAGTTAGTTATATACCACCTCAAAATATTTCTCCAAATACCATAGTGATTGTAATTTAAATATCCAGTATACTGGGAGATTAGAAATTTGCTTTGTAGTTGTTGAATTGTTTTATGAGTTAGAAAGTCTAGGCTCCAAGGACTCTTTTGAGCTTTGAAGATACTATCTACTGGTTACTGACAAGGCCTACCTCAGAGAGATTATCTGTCTCGTCAGCTGGCGTAGTCTCCATCTCTACGTCACTGTCAGACTGCGATGGCTTGTGAAGGGCAGTCTGACCAGAGATGTGCACAGAGAGGCCTAGTAGAGCTCTTGCTGCTGAGATATCGTCCAACCACACCACATTACCTAAATCAAACAAGTTAGGAGAATGTGCATATATGCATGCATGCATAGTTGCTTACTAACAGAACCTATCAACAAAATTGTTTTCTAAATACATCCTAGCAAACTACAAACAAGGCAAGAAACATTCTGAGAAGATGAACGAATGATAGGCTAGTGAACAAATGAGGAGAGAAGGGAGGTTCTTATTTCCAAGCATTTTAAAGGGTGTAAACATTAGAATAAGTTACTTCCAAACATCAATCTATTCTAAAAAAAGGATCATGATTGAGCTTGTAGGTACGTAGCCCCAGTGGCACAAAAATTATAAAGGATGCACAAAATAAGAAAAAAGCCCTTGCCACAGCAAACTTGCAGACCAAGCAGATTTCCACGTGCTTTCCTGATTTGATTTTCACAAAGATAATTTCTTTGACATGACAGATTTATTTCATGTTTGCTTTAGGTTAAATGAGTAGCCCACTCATGTTTGCAGCTACAATGAAGGTAATGAAGTCTGTTTTTAATTGAAATAATAACAGCTAAGTATGACCATAAATTATTAACCAACACAAGTAGACTCCTCCTCCCATTGTAAAATTTGAAGCTGGTTATTTGTGTCTAGTTCATGCAGGTGACATTGGGTGCTAGTGACAAAATTTTGTTTCTATTATTTTAGGGTTGATTGCATGGTTTGTCTTTTACTGTTTGGTTATATAGGGTAAAAAAGTCTCAGGACACTTAAATGTAAAAAAAATACTTTTTTAGTGAATTTCCCTATAGGGAAGTAGCTATTACCGTAGGTGGCACGGTAAGACCTAGACCCGGGACCGATTTACTTTTTCATTTTGATGTCCCCAGAGGCCAAATACACCCTTCGTTCAAATTTTTATATATGTATATATATATATATATATATATATATGTATAGACTTATATATATCTAAATATATAAAAGGCAAAGCCCTCACTGACTCACTCACTCACTCACTCACTCATCACTAATTCTCCCTTTTCCCATTTACCTAGGAGGCTGAAATTCGGTACATCGATTCTTTGGGCATTAAATAGGAAAACTAAGCAGTTTTTATTCTGATCGGGCTTTCGGGCTCCGCCCCAGTGGCTCTGGATTTTCCCATGTTAACCTTATGATCATACTAATATTATAAATGTGAAAGTTTGTGTTTGTTTGTTTATTTGTTTGTTTGTTTGAAGTTCAATCACGCATTAACTACTGGTCGGATTGTGTTGAAATTTGGTATGATGATAGCTCACATTCCTGATTAACATATAGACATATTCTTACCTCAAAAATCCTTTCGGGCTCCGCCCCAGCGGCTCTGGAATTTCCCATGTTAACCTTATGAGTATTCATATTTAAAAGGAATTAAATAATTTTGCCAGCTGTTTCAACTACACAATTTGTTTCTATGATATTCAATAGCATTGAAAGGTTATACGGTTTACCAACAGGGTGCAGCACCATTAGTTCTTTATACATTTATGACAACAGCTAAATTGAACCAAGCAGCAACAAAAACCTGAGTGTGAGAACTTTACTTCTTTCTATTGGTTAGGTGAGGTGAAGTGATAGAACATTATGGCTATGGTAGGCTAGATGTTCTATACTATAGTAGACCGTAGATTATAGTAAACCAAATTTTCTCAAAACGTGTCCTCCCTCATTGTAAATGCAAAGCACGAGTATTTATCTACAATTAGCATTGTATACCAACCCTGTATGAAGGACGGGTACTCAGCTAGTATATATATACTAGAGAACCCGTGAGCCGCATGGTATGAAACATAACGCCGAGGAAAACTTTATGCTTAAATACACTTGTTGGAAACTAATTTTAAATATCTTTGTTTGCGTCGTCAAGGTTTACCAGCATTAAATCTGCTCTCAGTTTTAATTGATAACTTCTAATGAATGCTAAACGATCTGCTTCAATTTGAGTTAACATGTTGCAACAAAGTTTTCCCAGCTTTGAGAATTGATGAAAACTGTTGCCTTACTGACCTGTGTTTAGTAATTTAAGTTGGGTCATTTTATAACTTTGATTTGAGACATCATCCTAAACAAACGAATTTTCTCCGTTGAGAACCCTGAATAGTGAGGTGATATCGCAACCATTTCATGTGCTCCATTTTTTACCCACAAACTGTGGGTTGCCAACTGGACTGCCATAACCTGCTTTGAATAGGCTAAAGCAGCAACACCATTGAAAGTTGGTTAACGCATTTTAACGTGTTGTCTGTCAGTCTCACGTTGTATAGTGAAGTTTCTCTAAATACCTGACCCAAAGTTTTGAAAGTATGGATTCATTTTTCGAAATAGGTTGGATGGATAGTAGTGATGTGGGCCGGGTAAATACCCAGTGGGTAGGTAAATATAAATTGGGTATTTACCTGGGTATTTACCCCAGGCCCGGGTAAATACCCAAAAACTGGGTATTTATAATTTGTATTAAAGTTAGAAAAGATTGAGATGTTTTTTTGCAATTATTACCTTGTAAGGATAGCAAAATGATAATAAAATGTGTTAATCAAAATTTCATATGGTCACTACTAGCATTTTACTTCTCGGTATGATCGCCATAAATACCCAGGTCTGAGCATAAAGCATAATCGGCATAAATACCCTGGTCGCATGGTTGCACTGGTCCTGACTACTTATGATTTTTTAATTTCTATGATAGATAGATGAATTTATTTTATTAAAAGTGAAGAAAAATTATTTGTAAAGTAATAATTATTATTTAGAAAGACTGGAAAATTCAACCTAGTAGTGGCCTATGTGTAAACAACTTAAGAAAATAATTAAAATTCAATCTGTAGGATGGCAGGATTTAATAATATTTTTGTTCTAGATCTTTTGTTGGTAAACTTATAAAAAAAAACTAATTTCATAAACTTGTGATACAAAAAATTTGAATCTATAGCACAATAAATCTTTCAAAATTATATTATAGGCCCTAAGTTAGACCAAAAAACAGGAGATACATTTTTTAATAGGTTTATCCAAATATATTATTGTTCCCAACTAAGCGGTAACACAGAAAAGTTTAATGTAGACTCCCTCTTATCCGGACACCTTTTAACCGGACAATTTTTATCAGCCCATTAGTTTAACCTGACTAGATTGGCAAGAAGTGAGCGGTACTGAAACGACTATTCTCGTGGGAAAGATTTGAGACCAGTGATCACGTATCTAAATACAATGCTCTCCTAAATTAAAGTCGAATATGACAGTACCAGTACACGGTTTCTGTTTTAACAAGTTTTTGGGGACGTCGGTTTAACCAGAAAACCCGTTATCTGGACTAGCCTCGGTCCCGAGGAGTCCGGATAAGAGGGAGTCTACTGTACATTCAGTATTCTGCCATTCTGCCTATATCAATCAGGCCTTGGGTCTGTCTAGCCTTCCAAGCCATTTACACAATACAAATTTTAACTATCATAATTTAATAACAGTAGAAGTAGATTTAGGTTCACTATTTCTCTGATGAGGTGTTGTCTTGATTTCATAAAAAAGTGCTAAATCATTAAATAAAAGGTACTAGCAATTCTGCAAAGCTTCAAGATACTGTAAAAGGTGAAATAGACTATCCTAATTTATCATGTAATGATAACGTTCAATAACATATTTAGGGGTATATAAAAAGGAATTTAAATCGATTTCATAAATACCCAAAATACCCGGGTATTTATGGATTTTGGGTATTTACCCGGGTAAATACCCAAGGTATTTACCCCGAGTTTTAAATACCTGGGTATTTTACATCACTAATGGATAGCAATTTTCATATTCTCTTTTTGAACAGCGTAGGTCTATATTATTTGCCTCTCCTAAATCATAAAAATAAACTTGACCGTAACAACTCGATCGTTGAATACATAAACACTAATTCCTTCACTTATGTTTGGGCTAATATTGACACTAAAACTTTCAATAGCAAATGAGTTGTTGAAACTTCTTATTTTTGACTTGAAATGTCTGGATTGTGTTGGTAAATTCAGTCAAAAAACCTTGTATAAGTTTTTCCGAGGAACTGGCAACATAACCTAGAAGTAAAAAATCCATTTGCGTTTTTTTCTCAATTTAAGTAGAGCAAGTAATACAAAAGTTTACAATAAAAACAAAAGGTCCGCCAAGATTTGGTATAATCTTACTACTTGAACTTATCATAGTCAAGGCATTATTATAGTTTCTACTAAATGTTTTGAAATATCTCGATCTGTCAGTGTTAGAAGTAAACATTCCTTGCATGCATTCATTTGATCTGACATTAGGAGAGTTTACTTTACTTTGACAACACTATGTGTTTCGTATATTTTTTTACTTCCAAAGTAAGTTGCATATCAGAAACATCGATGTATAGCAGAACTGGCAAATATTATTCTTATCACCAAGTGAGTACGTGTATATCTGGATGGATGTGTGTTAGACCAGGCCTCTCTATTTTTACTCTCCTCATACGCATAAGATATCTTATTATTAATTGTGTCCTACTCCCGTTTTCAATATTTCTTCTTTGAAATTGAGTCATTTTCTGTTCTTCCTACAAAACTGATTAACTGTTTAACTTGGTCTTAACCTACTCAATATTACAAACATGAATATTTACTCCCAAAAAGCTAATGAGTTTCTTTTTATAAACAGCTGTTTTTTGTTTTTAAATTTGTTCTATGTATTTCTTATGGGGAAAACCCGGCCTTTGAGAGGGTCTCACGCCCTTAAGGGTAGGAATTGAAAAATTCTAAAACCTTATTGCAAAACTTCATATTGAGACAAATCTTTTGACACCTTAAACGTTGAAATTGGTCCACAAATAAGGGAGGAGTTGCGTTAACAAAAAACGGCTTCACGTATTATATATATAGACTAGTGGCTTGTAGGGACATAAGTCCCTAAAATGCTCAAATGTAAAACAAATTTTTGCAATACCGGTATTTAATCTTCTTACAAGAAATCGAGGCAAGTTAGCATCAAGTCCTCATAAATTGCGCCTTTTCGAAAA